TGTCTTCATGATCGCTTTTCCTGCACAATTGGGGGGGGAAATATGTGCCAAAGAATTTGTCTGACTTGGGTATAAACCAAGTTTTCATAATGTACAAAACAATGCTTATTTCCTTGAAAGAAAAAATATGAAAATGGTTTCAAAGCCAAAAGGATCCACTACGGTCCTTCTTATGCATATCTGGAACTCTGATAAAAATTGATTTTTTTAGCTACAGTGGTACCTTGGGTTACATACGCTTCAGGTTGCAGACGTTTCAGGTTACAGACTCCACTAACCCAGAAATATTACCTCAGGTTAAGAACTTTGCTTCAGGATGAGAACAGAGAACAGCAGCAGCAGGAGGCCCCATTAGCTAAAGTGGTGCTTCAGGTTAAGAACAGTTTCAGGTTAAAGAACAGACCTCTAGAACGAATTAAGTACTTAACCCGAGGTACCACTGTACAATGCAACAAACACATGCTAGGTGTAAGACTGAAGACTGAAACACAAACATATCAATACTCAATTACTTGTATACTAACACAGTTTAGTGGTCAGATTTGCATTGTAGTTTAAGGAATAAGGTAAAGGTAAAGGTACCCCTGCCCGTATGGGCCAGTCTTGCCAGACTCTAGGGTTGTGCGCTCATCTCACTCAAGAGGCCGGGAGCCAGTGCTGTCCGCAGACACTTCCAGGTCACGTGGCCAGCGTGACATCGCTGCTCTGGCAGGCCAGCGCAGCACACGGAACACCGTTTACCTTCCCGCTAGTAAGCGGTCCCTATTTATCTACTTGCACCCGAAGGTGCTTTCGAACTGCTAGGTTGGCAGGCGCTGGGACCGAACGACAGGAGCGCACCCCGCCGCAGGGATTCGAACCGCCAACCTTTCGATCGGCAAGTCCTAGGTGCTGAGGCTTTAACCCACAGCGCCACCTGCGTCCCAGTTTAAGGAATAAGTAGTACCAATAGGAAGCTTGATTTAAAATCAATCTAGCCTGCAAGTTGTTAAATCAGAATCTGAATGATCCAATTTACAATGCAGGGAAAATCGGGCTACCACAAATCCTTAAGGAGTTGCTAAGGGGGGAAAAGAGGAGGTGGATAGGAACATTTGCAAAATAAAATAAAAAAATGAGTCATATGTCTGCTGCATGGAAGCATCAAAAATTTTTCCCTAGGAAGAAAAGAGATTGCTTTTTTTATTCCATTATGTCAACACTCGCAGTGACTCTAATAATCCCTCATTTTTTGTATCCATTTCTTCCAAATGTTTTAGCACTGAGATGAAGCTCTAGTGACACCCAATGGCTTTCCCAGTTTTGGCATGCAAGAGCAGTCGATCCAAATTTGCATCCATATTTTAATATAGGGATTGTTCAAGACAGCATATGGGGGAATCGTGTTTCTTTATGGGGATACTTTCATACACATTCGGAAGACCCCTTTTTCACACGTTACACATGATGGAGCCTGCTTTCTTTACCTGGTCGTCTTCTGTTTCATTTCTCTGACTAAGAGTGGGCCTTAGAAGAGCCTATGTCCCTTGAGAGGGAATTGGGTGTAAAATCAAACAAAGGTAGCATTACAAGACAGAGCGGGTTCTCCTTCATGGAGAGCACGTGTTGCGGTGGGAGCAACCATGACATTCCCTGTTGCTGGGCGGGTTAGTTTGGATGGCCACGGATTTGATTGGGCACTTCCAATGTCGCTGGGGAAAATTGATTGTTGCAATTTTATTTGATTGATGGGGGTGCTATATAGGTCCCTGTGCGCAGCGTTAAGCTTCTTCTTTTCGCTGCGCACATCGGATTACCTGCCCACCCTCCCTTTATTTAGGGTTTGTTTGCGCTTACCTTGCTATGCCTGTCATGGGGTCGTTTGCTTTGGAGCAGGGGCCTGGTAGGAATTTTACCATTTGGCTGATTGGCTGGTGCCATTTGGGTTTTGCCTACTGCGTAGCAAATTGTCGCAACTTGTAAGTTGCAGTAGTTGTTGTTGTTTAGTCGTTTAGTCGTGTCCGACTCTTCGTGACCCCATGGGCCAGAGCACGCCAGGCACTCCTGTCTTCCATTGCCTCCCGCAGTTTGCTCAAACTCATGCTGGTAGCTTCGAGAACACTATCCAACCATCTCGTCCTCTGTCGTCCCCTTCTCCTTGTGCCTTCCATCTTTCCCAACATCAGGGTATTTTCCAGGGAGTCTTCTCTTCTCATGAGGTGGCCAAAGTATTGGAACCTCAACTTCAGGATCTGTCCTTCCAGTGAGCACTCAGGGCTGATTTCCTTAAGAATGGATAGGTTTAATCTTCTTGCAGTCCATGGGACTCTCAAGAGTCTCCTCCTGTTATGTACTGAAGTTCTCACCCTGGGCCAGCAGGGGGATACTGTAGATAGTTATGCAAATGAAGGATCGAAAAGTGACGTTCAGTGATTGGATAGTTTTAGAAAATGGCAACAGTTGCATTGTTCTGGAGCTCTATATAAGCAGGCTGACTGAGCTCCTCAGCCTAATTCTGTTCTGGCATCTGAATAAAGAAGAGCTGTTTAAAGAATCGCTGTGTCGTCTGACATGATCGCCCACAACTTAACACCTCCAGCACCATAATTCAAAAGCATGCGGTTAGGCATTGGTTAATTTTTTGGTTGGTGGAGGGGATGAGGTTGGCTGTGCCTGCCCCTTCAATGCTGCTGCTGCAAAGGTATTCCGTTAAAGGAATCCAGGGGCTCGCCATGCTTTTGTTCGTATCCTTGACAAAGGGCTAGGGCCATGCAAGAGCCCCAGGGAGCATTTGGGGAGATGTGTGAGCCTGGCACCCAGCTTTTTCTCTCCCCAAAATTGCTTACCCTTACTGACTTACACATGGGTGTGGTTGTCCTACCTCCAAGTGGGAACAGATAGTCGCTAACCAATGCTAAGCAAACATTCACTTACTGTAATTCAATAAAGTTGAGGCCAAAATCCAAAACAAAAATGATTTGTGAACGTGTTTTTATTCAGGGGTGTCTTGGGGGTCCTCGACATGCAACTTACCCACGCAAAAAAGCTTCTAAGAATTATGCAATAAGTACAACGTGGCCCTACTTTTGATGTTTTAATTCATTTTTCATGAACCGTCAGTGTCGAAATCTAGAGTTAGAAAACTCCCCGATATCTCTCTTCTCCAGTTTACTCCCAGCAGATCGCTTTTCCTTTTGTACCCTTTAAATAAATTAATCCATTTTGGAGCACATTCTCTATCATTCTTCCTATTTAATCAAGGCGAGCTGGGATAGCTCTTTCCAGTGCATACAACTCTTGCTTCCCTTACCCAGAGGCTCAACCGCAGCTGGGTATTCAGTTGGCAAATGTCTGCAGAGATAAGCATATCGATGATATTTAAGCTTACAGCTCTGCGTTTTGTTTTTAAAATAAGCTTGAGGGTCAGGTCTCTCAGCACGGTGCAAAGCAGGCTCTTGAGCAGGAAACTGATACTGCCTTCAAACAATGGAGACTGTTAAGTTGTGGGTGAACATATCAGACGACACAGGGATTCTCCAAACAGCTCTTGTTTATTCACAGGTCAGAACAGAACTGAACTGAAGGGTTCAGCCAGCCTGCTTATATAGAGCTCCAGTACAACGTAACTGTAACAACTTTCTGTAACTATCCAATCACTGAACGTCACTTTCGATCCCTTATTTGCATATGTGGACCTGAACTATCTACAGTATCCCTCTGCTGGCCCAGGGTGAGAACTTCAGCACATAACAGAGACTATATATCATATTTACTCGAGTCTAATGTGCACTTCAATTTTCAGAACCTTGAAACAAAAAAAAGTATTTGCTGGCGAATGTAAATGTGCCATTGAATCTAATGTGCACCTTAATTTTCGCAGCATTATTTGGCCAAAAAAGGTGAGCAGTAGAATCGAGTAAATACAGAGTGTATGTGTATGTGTGTGTGTACATACACATACGTTTGTGTAGAGAAGAGCTTTCCAAACTTTTCATGTTGGAGACACACTTTTTAGACGTGCATCATTTTGTGACACAGTAATTCAGTTTTAATAGCAAACCAGAGGTTAAACTAACCCCTTTCCAGCCCCTGAAGGAGCGCAGGGAGCATTCCTGCCATGCACCTACACACCTGCAGTCAACACACTAACGTGTCACAACACACAAGCTTGGGAAGCGCTGGTGTAGAAGATTATAAGTGTAAAAAGTCACACGCACCATGATTTTGTTTTAGCTAATTCTAATCCCAGCCAGACGGGTGGGGCTACAAATAACAAAATTATTATTCTTCATTCATCATTATAATTAATCCCCAGAACTGCTTCCATCAACGGGTTCCCTTTATTTTTTATACCCTGCTTTGACCTGCCCATAACACCCCCTGCGCCAAGGAAAACAAAAATCACGCAATGGCCACCACGCCGTTTATACTCAAGCGGAATAAACGCGCAATGGCACGAGGCTGCCGCCCCGCCTCCCTTAAAAAAAATGAATGAAACTCAACGTTTTGTATTTAAAGGAAAGTCGCCTTTAACCGTGAACTCTTTATATTGCGTTGTTTCCCACGACTGATGTATCTATGATGAAAACCATGTACTGTACACATAGCATTGGAAGCGAGATGGAGACCCAACTCAGCCTCATGCAAAATAAGGATTGCGCGACTCTTCCATTTCTAGCTCTATGCCCCGTTCTTCCTGGCCGGGAGCCGATTGCCAGACCCTGACGCGAACTTTCAGTCCAAAGAGCCTAGGAAAAAAGAGGAGCGTCACTCTTCCGGTTTCTGTTTTGAAAGCTCTTTCTATCCCATTCCTTTCCATCTCTATGGTCCCCTTTTTTTGTTTTCTATCGGCTTCAATTGCAAGAAAACCGGAAGTACGGGTCTAACCCCTTGGAACGTCGTGACAGGAGAGCGGAAAGAGGAGGAGGGCGGTGCTATTGAGTTCTAAGGGAAGGTTTGGGCTAGAGCGGCAACGGAGCTTTTACTCTTCCTTCCGGAGGAGCGAGGAGGGACGGGGGAGGTCAGAGGTCGGAGGTCGCCGAGGGAAGATGGTGGCGCGCGAGCAGCTCCGCGTGGTTCGCTGCGGCGGCAGTTGGCTGAGCGGGAGCCGCGCGGTCTTTTCGGCCGATTCGAAGTGAGTGGCGCTGAGGGGATCAGTGGGGGCTTTTCAGGAATGCCAACCGCTTAAGCCGCGGGGGCGGCGGCGTCAGCCCCGTTGAACGCGGCTGAATTTACTCCCGAGTAAGACACGCGTCTAGACTCCACATTATTAGTATTATTAAGACACGCGCTCAGACTCCACATTATTATTATTTATTAAGACGCGCGCTGAGACTATTATTATTATTTATTAAGACATGCTCTGAGACTATTATTTTTTTTTATTAAGACACCCTCCAAGACTCTATTATTATTATTCATTATTATTAAGACAAACGCTGAGACACTTTATTATTTATAAGACACACGGTGAGATTCATTATCTTTATTGTTGTTGTAATAATAATTACTATTGGGATGCAGGTGGTGCTGTGGGTTAAACCACAGAGCCTAGGACTTGCCGATCGGAAGGTCGGCAGTTCGAATCCCCACGACGGGGTGAGCTCCAGTTGCTCGGTCCCTGCTCCTGCCAACCTAGCAGTTCGAAAGCACGTCAAAGTGCAAGTAGATAAGTAGGTACCGCTCCAGCGGGAAGGTAAACAGTGTTTCCGTGTGCTGCTCTGGTTCGCCAAAAGCGGCTTAGTCATGCTGGCCACATGACCTGGAAGCTGTACGCCGGATCCCTCAGCCAATAAAGCGAGATGAGCGCCGCAACCCCAGAGTCGGTCACGACTGGACCTAATGGTCATGGGTCCCTTAAATAATAATTACTAAGATATAATCGCTATAATTAATAGTATACCGCCTTGTTCCAGAAAGTCGCAGGGCGGTTACAACATAAAATCACCAACATAGAAACGCAAAATACATAACAAAAATAAAAACAACCCAATAACACACACACCCGTCGTGTTTTGTGGGTTTTTCTAAATAAGGCCGAGTGGGCTGTAGGATCGCACACAGCCTGAGGTGCGCTGTTTAGGTTGGTTTTGTTCCAATCTTTTCCCTTTTTAATTTCCTAAAAAATATGGTTTCAAACAACGACTACCACAATTTAAAAAAGAGAAGAATGCCCAGCAAAATTTACTGCCCTATTCTAAGATACACAAAAGTTAAAACATTAAAGCAGGTTTAAGATAACCCCAGCTGTCAACCTGAACAAGAATATTTTTAGTGGGTATTTTTAGTGAATGAGTACAGCAAAGGCCCCTGTTTGCTCTCAACAGGCAGGGAGTTTCAAGGCGCAGGCGCTGCTACACTAAACTATCAAATTATAATTGCAAATGCAGAACGGGCATTGTGTGGCAACTGTGGTAGTGCTGATTCTGCCAATTAAATGTAGGGATAGGAGGTATGTTCTGTTAAAACAGTGAATTTTTCTTCATGGGGATTTGTGCCCCAGTATCGGCAAGCTTTTAAGATCTTTATAACAGTGAAAGTAATGAATGAGGAGAGGAGTGTTACACTAGATCAGCATAAGAAATTGTCTTATACCCAGGCCTTCTGCTCTACCACTGAGCCCATACCTTTCCCCCTTAGAGTTTTGAAAAGTGCATATATTATGTGGTACAAACAATCCAGAGTAAAAGAGGCTTCTGATAAACTGGCCTTTTTAATAGTCCTTAGACTTCCTGGAACTATGACAAAAATGTGTTTAAACCACATGGTAATAAATGCAACACAATTCATTCTCCAGTTAACTTTTGCTTCCATTCCCTCCTCTTGTCAACATGTTTCATCCCTGTCCCAATCAAAATTTTGAGCTGTAAACTCTTTTTATGCTACTCTAAGCACTGTGTATATTAATGCCAATATATTTAAAAAGCATGTTTTGGTCTATTGCTATCATTTGGAGAAACAAAATACCGAAATATTTATATAATTTTTAAACAGTTATATTTCACTTTTCTGTCTCCATGTTAGGCACGCATGGCAGCTTGTGTTTAATATAGTATTTAAATGTCATTACACGTGGCATTTAAATACTACATGACCTGGTTCACGGGTATCATTAAGATAAACCAATGGTTAAAATGCGATTGCAGGAATCATGGCCACATCGGTCCTTTCCCCCAGTTGTCCTGCTCTGCACCAAACTCAGCTTTGGTTTGGTTTAGCCAAGGTTTGTTCTGCTTACCATGTACGGTTTGTCTGGAGGTGACAAGCTATGGGCCCATGATGACTTAAGTTGCTAACTCCCACCCAAAATTAGCTCCAGATAGCATGGCAGTAGGAGAACTGGAAGAGGAGTAAAATACTTGCATATCTGCACATTCATGGTTTGGTATTGTATGCATTAGATATGAACTGGACCATACTGAAAAATAGTCTGGTTTTCCTGTAACTTTGGCGGTTGGGAATTGGTCTTTTGCATGTAATGTTGGATGTGAAAATGGATAAATATTATCTAATATGCTTCTAGAATTTTCCAAGTTAGCCTATGTTGTTTCTGTCAAGTACTATAAATGCCTTTTAATTGATTTCTGCCTTTGATTTCATTGCTTATAGGTACCTTTTGTGTGCTTCTGGTGACTATGTGAAAGTCTACAGTACAGCTACAGAAGAATGTCTGCATGTTCTCCAAGGTCACAGCAACATAGTGACAGGAGTCCAGTTGAATCCCCAAAACCATCTACAGGTTGTTAAAATTTTGGCAATGCTAGTCCTATCTTAGAGCTAAACTACAAGCAGCATATATAACATAATTGTCATTAAGTGCAAACTTTCCCCCGCCTCTTTTTTCACTGCAAAATTTCAGAACCACATAGGGACCATAGCAGAGGGCAAAGGATTTAAGTTCCCTCCCCACATACGCCAGGGTTCTAATCAACATCAGGGCACCAACACTCACATTGGCACTCAAGGGGAAACTGAGATAAATATCCTAGGTAATTTTGCTGGTGCTTAACGGTGCCCTGCCCTATAATCTTTGAATGAAGGGCAGCATAGAAATTTGATATATTGTTGCTGCTGTTGTTGTGATATGTTGTTGTTGTAATCCCAGGCCAAATCCATGATTATGGCCAGGTATGAGTATAGCTCAAATGGAGCAAATTATACCTATTCTGCAATAGTTTCTTATCACTTCCTGGCCCAGTTGAAAATGCTGGTGGAAAACCTATAAAACCCTGCCTGGGCTGAGGTCTGCATAGCTTAGATAACATTTTCTCTCATCCTCATGTGCAGATCTATAATGGAGATGCTGCTTCATATGTCCTTATGTCCTTTATGGACATAAGAATTTGAAAGGACTCAAAGCTGCATCTCCCTTACGTGACAGACACAACTAGTGGAACATTCTGCTCAGTGATGTGACTAGCTACATCTCTGCTGGTATTTTGGTTTCTCATGGAATACATTTCTTCCCTTTTAAGAGCGGTCGGCGCTAGGACATACTTATTTGGACTTAAGTCGCAATCGTTTTGTCTGCATCATAGTTGATTTTGATTATCATCCCATCTCTGGGCTGTTTTTCTCGTAAATGTGTTTGTGTGTTATATCTTCAGCAGAGAACATGGGTATGTGCAGTTTTAATTAAATAAGTAGTAATTTTCAAAGGTGTTAGAACCACTTCACATTTTGTTAGCATTTTTGTCATACACAGGGAGTAATCAGCACTGCTAAGAATCAAAATGCTTTGTAGATAAACCAGAATAGGACCTTACAAATCATTTAATATGTCTTTTTTTTCTCCACCAGCTCTATTCCTGGTCTCTAGATGGCACTATTAAACTCTGGGATTTTATGGATGGCATTCTCATCAAGGTTTGTTATGTTTTCTTTGCACCTCTTCTTTCTCCATAGCAGCCCATGGGCTTCTCATTAGATTAATGAAATGGTTTGCATTGGAGTGAATAAAACAAATCTCTGTGATTCGTGAGTAAATGCTCTGTTTTGCAGACCTGGATATGCTTTGCCACTGCTATGCAAACTGCACTGCGGCATCTTGGTTGATACGAGTCATCACTAACGGCATCTACAGTGGAATCCTCAATATAGCTACTCAAAACTAAGACTGTTAAGTTGAGCAGGACTTATTCCCAGCCAAGTGTGTATAGGATTGCAGTGTAAATGCATTGCAATGGAGTAGGGGGCCAATGGGCTCTTTTCAGCATACGAGTGTCTAGCTTCAAAGACTAATAAGCAGGATCTCTTATCTTCTTATCCACGAAGGCTTAGAATGGACAGTGTTTTCTGTTGATGATTCATGACTGAGATGAGCTACATAAGAGATGGGGAACCTTTGGTCATCAGGATGATGTTGGACTACAACTTCCATCAATTCCCATGCTGACAGGGACTGATGGGAGCTGTGGTCCAAAAACATGTGGAGTGCCACAGGTTCTCCATCCCTGAACGGTATGCACAACTTTATTGATAATTGCGCCTAATTAAAAACCCGTTCCGCATCCTTCTAAACTAGCAGGGTTGTATAAACTTGCTTTTCATCTTAGTTTTTGGATGAGACTAAAGAGATTGATTTTGTGTATGTGTGTGTTTTCTCTTACAGACCTTGGTGGTTGGGTTCAAACTCTTTGCATTCTATGCACTTGCGGGATCTGAGAATTCGGTATTTTGTTATCATCTTCAAAAGATAAATGATGAAATCAGGTTATGTCATAGATTGGTTAGCTTCCTTAGTAATTTGTACATCATGTTTTTTTATGATTGTTGTTAACAGTGAGACTGTTGGAGCCTTTTTGCGGGTTTTATTGTTAAGGATAGAAGGCAGGATAAAGAAATTGTTTTCCCCCTCCCCTTGTTGACTGATTTTTATCTTGCCCTTGGGGGGGAATGGCGGGTGGGACATAGGAGCTCGTCTACATCTTAGGGATTGGTTTTTATTATAGGACTATTAGTACAGACCATATGGCAAAGTGAAACAAAATAAAATAGGCATGTAAAGCTCCAGCATAAAAGTATACGGTGAGGTTCAATGGCCTCAAGCATAAAACTTATACGGCTAGAAAATAGAAGTTTTGTGATGTGATGGGGGATGGGGGTAGAGATCCCTATAAGGAATAAAATTCCCCAGAGCAGGAATTTATGTATCACTTAAGTCCCCTAATGGTATGCCCAGGGCTGTGGTAGTGGAGGACTGGTTTGCACAAGAGGAGACAAAGAAGCCAGCAGGTGGTTCTAATGTCTGGTGTGCAGCGTCCAAATACCTGTTGCACAACAGGCTTCCTGCTAGCACAATGCGTTGCGCTGTATTGTTATGATTGTGGCGAACCATAACTTCTTCGGCCCTGTAGACTAGCAGCACCACCCCTCTAGGCTGGCGAGAGAATGGCTGGAAGTCTGGGTCCCCCTGTTTGTTTGAATGTTCCTGCTATAGCAGGGTGTCCGCCTTTAATGGCAGTCATCAGCAACAATCAAGAGATAACATCTTAAAACCTTTTTAAAAAGTGTGTCATATTTTGCTAACAAACGCACACGCATCTGTTTGCGTATTAAATTCGTGGTAGTAATTAATCTATTAATTGTGTGTTTAATTAAATGTATTTAATTACATATATTAATTAAATATATTTAATTTACATATATCGTGTATATTAAATAATATTAAATGTATTGTGAACACTTCAATTACATATGGAAATTTAGTTCAGTGTGTGGCAGCACTCCTGCAGCTCATTTGGTATGAAAAGTTGGACCGCCCTGTGCTGTAGGACAGCAGAGGAGTAGAAATAGGTTTCTTAGTTTGTGAAAAGATGCTAAGCAGACTTCTTAAAACACTATGTTGTTTTGGATTTGGACATTTGTGGAGCGTGGAGGCATAGATGTCTTATATGCTGCTCAGAACCTGAAGCCCAGTCCCGTGAACTGCTTTTCGGGCTGGTAAGCATTTATGGTTAGGGGTGATGATCCAGTGACTGCTATATCAGCACTATCTCTGGTATGCTGACACAGGAAAGCCTAATCAGTGCAGAAGAAGTGGGCTGGGACTACACAGCCCAGAATCTGTTAACATAACTGCATGGAACAGCTTTGGCGAATAGGGACAAGGTGCACTGTTACCGTGAGTGCAAATCCCACCCCGAATTAGCGGGATTACAGATTTATCCAGTTCACTTCCCAGCACGGGAAAGAATGCTTTAGGTGTTTTAGTATAAGCTGCTGTATCACAAACAGGTATTTTATTTAGAGGATCGATGAACGCAGATTAAAATAACTAAAGGTAGGAATGGCTGGCCCCAATGCATTTAATGCTCCTCATCTTAGTGTGGCAGTCATGCTTAAAATGAAACACTGTGCTCATTCAGCTTTTGCAACCTGCTGGAGGGCATCAGGTTGGGGAGATATACATTGCCATAATTTTGTCTGTAACTATAAAAGTTTGCAGCAGTGCATGTTAATTTCTGCCGAGCATTGTGGGGGGAAATATTATTTAACCATAGAATTGTAGAGTTGGAAGGAACCAGGATCATCTTGTCCAACCCCCTACAATGCAGGAATCTTTTGCCCAATGTGGGGTTTGAACCGCGCTATCCTGAGATTCAGAGCTCATGATCTACCGACTGAGCTATCCCAGAGTTTCATAAGGCATGTTGCTGCATTGGCTAGGAATCAAATCTAGGCCTCCCACGTGGCAGGCAAGAATTATGCCACTGAACCACAAATGCTGCTATAATTCACAGTACACTTAGTCTTTGCGTAGGCTTGTTAGGAGAATACAGTGGTGCCCTGCAAGACGAATGCCTCGCAAGACGGAAAACCCGCAAGACGAAAGGGTTTTCTGTTTGCGAGTTGCTTCGCAAGACGAATTTCCCTATGGGCTTGCTTCGCAAGAAGAAAGCCCATAGGGAAATCTCCGGGGACCTCTTTTAAATGCTGGCGGTGGGGAGCAAAGCCTTTCCCCCCCCTCCGGCCTTCAGAAGAGGTCCAGGACATCTTCTGAAGGCCGGCAGGGGGCAGAAAGAGGTCCAGGAAGGCCAGCGGGGGCCGAAAGGCTTTGCTCCCCACCGCCAGCATTTTAAAAGCAGTCCGGGATAGCAGGGAAGCGCTTCCCGCTATCGCGGACGGCTTTTGAAGGCAGGCAGGGGGGAGCAAAGACTTTTGTCCCCCGCCCGCCTTCAGAAGAGGTCCAGGACCTCTTCTGAAGGCCGGCGGGGGGCAAAAGTCTTTGCTCCCCCCTGCCTGCCTTCCCGGGAAATCATAGGAATGATTTTCAATGCATTCCTATGGGAAACCGTGCTTCGCAAGACGAAAAACTCGCAAGAAGAAAAAGCTTGCGGAACGAATTAATTTCGTCTTGCGAGGCACCACTGTAAAATTAGGCAGCACTGTTGATGTCTCTTTGAGTTTTGGGGACGACAACCAGGTGCAAATATGATAAATAAAGGCCGTACAGCAAAATACAGTCATACCTCAGGTTACAGACACTTTGGGTTGCGCACCACGCCGAACCCAGAAGTACCGGAACGGATCACTTCCAGGTTTCGGCGCAGAAGCGCTAAATCGCAACCCGCACATGCACAGAAACGGCACTGCGGGTTGCGAATGTGCCTCCTGCACAGATCACGTTCGCAACCCGAGCGTCCACTGTAGCCTAATTGCACTCATGAATGAGATAAAAGTTAGATGTGATAAAAAATTATTATTATTTCATCTATATGAGAATAATTGGTTTAAAACTTAAATAAATTTTGTTTCCATCAGGTCCATTTCAGCTAGCTTCACTGAAAATCCCCAAAACACCAGGTCAGGAAGTAGAAGCCAATGAGCTGGAATTGATTTTGGATGGTGTAAGCCAGTCACCCAAATGTACAGCGCTTGGAAGAGAAGTATATACCTTTTCTTTCTTTCTTTCTTTCTTTCTTTCTTTCTTTCTTTCTTTCTTTCTTTCTTTCTTTTAGTATATCATATTAGAGGTCTGCATGCACAGACTTGATGTCAAATCATCCTTCTTTACTTCCTCAGCTCTTAGAGCATGCACCCTCTTCTTAGCCTGTTCTCCAACCACAGCCTTACTCGTTGCATTCCTAGCCTCTTTGCCTTGGCTGCCCACTGTAAAATCTCAGAAATTTAGCCAATCCAATGCAGAGGCCCTTCCGCTTTCTCTGCTTTTCCATGACATGTGGACAGATTAGTCAATCGTTGCCAGGGCAGCTTTCTAGCCACCATAAAATCCTTTACCGCATTATAGCGTAGGTGTTCTGCTGTAACTGTCATATTCTGTACAGTTGGGAAGAAATTCCTCTCTAAAACTTCCTTATTTGTGACCCTGGACACAAAATACCTGTATTTCTCTCTGTCTTAAGGGGGTATCCAAAGAGCTACCTTTTTATCTGTTACCTGTTGTGTTCTCAAAAGAATTTATCACTTTTATATGAGGTCTGCTTTTCAGGCTGTTTTGGAAACACTTCCCTGTTCCAAGAACAGGTTAACAAAAGGCAGTGGGGTATATGGCATGTTTTTGTAAAACGCAATTCCAAAACTGCTTTGGGCGCACTCCTATGTCTTATGATACCAAGAACCACATGGCCAGTTCTGTGGAGCCAAAGGAGCTTCAACCTTGTGGTTTGCCGCCAGCAGCTAGGCTGACTTCACCCGTGTTCAGCATCTTTGCTATGTTTCTTTAAACTCCAGATCTCAGCGCACCTGAATTAGCCATCATTTCTCTTTAGATCACTCTGAGTAAAAGCCATGGAGGAAATGTCTGAATTTGATTTAGAAGGGGAAAAGCACTGATTGCAGATATATCATTGTGCTGCTTTAGCTGACTTGCATAGCAGTTGTCTGTCTCTTGCAGTTTGCCCATCACATGTTCTAATTTTTAATTTTTTTTAATCATACATTTTAATCCACTTGGACTCTGGTATGTACTAAACTATATTTTGTTTATAACAGGGTGAATATGTGGTATCTGCTTACGGCAGTCACCTCGTCGTCTGTTTCTTCAGGAAGAAGAAGCTTTACAGGTGAGGGCAGACAACTCCAGCTAGTAATTGCTTTGCTGCTTTGAATATGCATCTGTTGCTTCTGAACTGGCCAGGAATTTGCTGTTTCTTACAGAAGTGTCCATAGCCCTGATAACACTTATGCTTATTAATGAAGAAAAGAAAAGAAAAACCCAGATGGTGATATCCAAACTGTAGTTGGAGTAGACCAATTGAATCAATGTGTTTAATTCTATTGACTTTAGGGGATTTATTCTGAATATGAATTAGCTGGATATCTCCCAGCTATTAATATCTTTGGAGAAGGAAAGGCTAAGGAGGAAAAGGTGAAGGTAAACCGCTTCTGGTGCATCAGGACAGCGGGATGATCGCTAGAGTGCAAGGAAACACCATTTATCTTCCCTCCGCAGTGGTACCTATTTATCTACTTGCACTGGTATGCTTTCGAACTGCTAGGTTGGCAAAGCAACGGGAGCTCACCCCGTCGTGCAGACTCAAACTGCCAACCTTCTAATCGGCAAGCCCAAGAGGTTCAGTGGTTTAGACAACAGTGCCCCCCCCGCTCCTTTTATCTGCTAAGGAATAAACCCTACACAAATCCGGAGTGGAGTTTCCTAAGTGGATGGTGCCTTGTGTGCCTCCTTCTGGCATCTCCTGCAGCCGAACTGGTGCCAAACATATTGCTCTGCTTTCCTTTGGACACATCTGACATATTTGGGAAGTGGGAGGATTTTGTTGTGTTGCAACATACTTATTTGCTCATAAAACAAATCCCAGTTGCCTCCTGATCTTCTTGTTGCTGGTTTTGTTTCAAGTCCTTATCAAGTCAGGCACACAAGAGCCCACGCAGTCTGTGTCCACCATGTGCAATATTTAATTTTACACTTGCATTTGTGCCCATATGGCCAATTGGCCAAACTGTCAGTGCAGCCTATCTACTGGGAAGTCAAATCCCCATGGTTCACTGAGCCCTTACATCCTAGGTAACGTGTATAGAAACTGCAGCCTTGGTCCTTTTCAGGCAGTCTACAACCTAGAATCAGGGTTCACAACCTGTGAACCTTCCCAGATGTTTGGGACTACCACCTCCCCCATCCTCGATCACTGGCTATGCTGTTTTGGGGTGCAATGGGAGTTTAGTCCAGGAAACCATCTGGAGGGCCGACAGATTGGCACCCGTCCTAAGAATTAATGTAATATGGCAACAGGTAATGATGCCCTCTGCAGACTAATCATCCATGGAGAAGTCACCAGTCTGTGCAAGTCCACATGCTCCGTTGCAGCTAGCAGTATGCTGTGTGTGTGTGTGTGTGTGTGTTGTGGTGTGGTGTGTGTGTAAATTGCTACATTTCTAAGGCACACACAGTTTTGTTCGGTTTGATAGGAACTAGCCTCCTGAGTGGTGGAATCGAGTCTGTCCTAGTGCAGTGGCGAGATGGGTCGGATGCGAAGAAGGAATTCTTGCCCCCGGTTGGGATCCACAATGAGCAGCACATCTCCGTCTCTCCAGATGGAGCCTTCCTTTGTACCTCGCATGCAGATAACAGTAAGTCCAAATGGGGGAGAGAAACCTACCTCTTTATAATGTCAAACAACCGTGGCTGTTTGGGTTTGAAAGGTGATAACCTCCTTAAATCAGTCATTTATATCCAAGCACCTCCAGCTTCAAATTTCCGTGAGCACCTGAGCCATGGATTGGAAACCGGCAATAGCCCTCTAGGTACTGTAGGACTACCAACTCCCATCAGCCCGAGCGGTCAGGAATGATGGGAGTTGTAGTTCAACAGCATCTGAAGCCACCCCACCCTCTGGCCCTTTCCCTCCCTGCTTTGTGATTGGCATCTCTCTTGTTAATTCTATAGGGCTTGTGGGGAGGGGAAGGGTTGCTGTCTCTGGATTTATATTTTTATCCCCTGTCGCTCCATGAGGATCTTCCTGCCTCAATTACAGTCCAAACCCAACGATGAATTGGCTTTCTTTCAGTGCCCAGTTGTATGCCCGGGTTGGTACTGGTTTAAAAGACCCTTAAGCAGCTGTACATATGAATGAACAATGTTTTCTAATGGCGAAGCGTGGTGCTCTCCCACTGGAAAGTGGTTCCAGAGCTTGGGGGCCACTGCTGAAGAAGCTTGTTCGAGAATGACTCCAGCCCTAATAGTTAATGGAGCCTTTTCAGCCAGTCTGAAAAGATTGGGGAAGTACTCATGGGAGAAAGAGTTCTCTGTTCCCTAGCGAAACTGATTACAGGCTTACAAGAGTAAGCACCAGAACTTTTGATTTAGCACAGCAGCCAGGGAAGCAAATCTAGGGGTGGGTGTGGCATGCTCCTTGTATCTTCATACCAGGCTCATTCTGAAGTAATGCGATTTCCAATCTGCCTCAGCCCCTTGCCCATTAGTTACTAGGGCATGTTCAAACATTTTAAAGTCCCTCCTTTCAAGGAAGGGATGTTGTTGTTTAGCCGTGTCTGACTCTTTGTGACCCATGGACCAGAGCACACCAGGCACTCCTGTCTTCCACTGCCTCCCCACAGTTTTGGTCAAATTCATGTTAGTAGCTTCAAGAACGCTATCCAACCATCTCGTCCTCTGTCATCCCCTTCTCCTTGTGCCCTCATCTTTCCAACATCAGGGTCTTTCCAGGGAGTCTTCTCTTCTCATGAGGTGGCCAAAGTATTGGAGCCTCAGCTTCACGATTCTGTCCTTCCTGTGAACACTCAGGCTGATTTCCTTCAGAATGGATAGGTTCTTGATCTTCTTGCAGTGCCATGGGACTCTCAAGAGTCTCCTCCAGCACCAGAATTCAAAAGCATCAATTCTTCCGGTGATCAGCCTTGTTTATGGTCCAGCTCTCATTTCCATACATCACTACTGGGAAAGCCATAGCTTTTAACTATATGGACCTTTGTCGGCAAGGTGATGTCTCTGCTTTTTAAGGAAGGAATATCAACAAGCAAATCTAACTAAGGCTGACCATATGTGCTGTTGACCACCACATCAGTCTTGGCCATACCAAGTGGAGTTCTGCATCCAATAATGTTCCTGAGCTGCAAGCCATAACTGGCCATTTGAAGTGCACCCATTTTTTTCTGAATAAAACGTTCTATGCCCAGGGAAGGCCATCTGCAGCCCTCTAGATGCTGTTGCATGACAATTCCCACTCCTGTCTATGGGCTGATGCAGATTCTGAATCATCAATTTGGTAAACAATAGGCCTTTTGATGCTCTGCCAGCTTTCATTCTTAACCTTATTAACTTTCTTTTAAAACTCCTGTAGAAATAATCATCATACACAGCAACTTGAAGGTCTCCACAGTCATTCAAGGGATTGAGCAGAGGTATGTTTGCTTCAGAGAGCTTATTTATATACCTGCGTATCTCCTTTTCTCCAAAGAAACTGCATTCCAGCTCAAACCATCTGTTTCCTTTCAGGCAGTGACGTCAAGGCTGGCTTGATGGTTGACCCTCGAACTAAAGCCTTGGTTCTGAACGGCAAACCAGGCCACCTGCAGTTCTATTCACTGCAAAATGACAAGCAGCTTTACAATGTAAGTTAGGCCAGTGGTGATCTAATGGTAGCTCAGGACCCATTTGGTATGTGTTATCTGTGCTCTCGTCACAGTGGCAAATAAGGCTGAGGTCTAGCAACAGTAGTTGTGGCTGCTGTTTGGGGTTGTTGGGTTTTTTTTAACATTAACTGGACATATAATTTCTGCATAGAAACAAAATACTACTAGGGCTGGGCGGTATCTGGTTTTCAACATCATGATATATCACCAGGTAAACGTTGTGTACTGATACAGTGGTACCTTGGTTCTCAAACTTAATCCGTTCCAGAAGTCCATTCCAAAACCAAGGCGCACTTCCCATAGAAAGTAATGCAAAACGGATTGATCCGTTCCAGACTTTTAAAAACAAGCCCTAGAACAGCAATTCAACATGAATTTTACTATCTAATGAGATAAAATGAAAGCAATAAACAATGTACTGCAGTCACACACACAGTCAATCAATCAGTAGCTGAACTGGGTTCCACACAGTCACAAAAACAAAACAAAAAGAGCTGCCTAAACAAAACGCAAATAAATAGCAAAAACAGACAGACCCCAGCAACACACTCAAAACAGAAGTGTGGCACTCAAATCAGAAGCACAACACTCAAAATGGAACACATTCGACTTCCAAAAAAAGTTCGCAAACCGGAACACTTACTTCCAGGTTTGCAGTGTTTGGGTTCCAAGTTGTTTGAGTACCAAGGCGTTTGAGAACCAAGGTATCACTGTATATCATGATGTCTGTAATAAGGATGGAGATATGTAGAGACATTGGCTAGCTTCACGTTTTTCCCCACATCGTGGATTTTGCATAGTGTGCATACACACACACACACATATACGCGATGTATTGATATATCGCCCAGCCCTAAATACAACCCTGGCCCAGATTGCTGGAGAACAAGTAGTGAACACAAGGTGTGGGGTGGCAGTGTTGCTGTAGGTAGGATGAGGCTAAAGTAATTCAAGAAAGGCTTTGCTGGAGGTAGTGGGGAAAGCAGCACAACTCGGGGGCAGGAAGAAGCATATCAGATGGCATTGGAATGAGAGTGGGTGATGGGAATAAAGAGGTGCAAAGTGCATATGTGTTTCTTCACCAGTAGCTGGCTTCAAAGTGTTGGTGCTGACCTTTAAAGCCCTAAACGGCCTCGGCCCAGTATACCTGAAGGAGCGTCTCCACCCCCATCATTCTGCCCGGATGCTGAGGTCCAGCGCCGAGGGCCTTCTGGCGGTTCCCTCCCTATGAGAAGTGAGGTTACAGGGAACCAGGCAGAGGGCCTTCTCGGTAGTGGCACCCGCCCTGTGGAACGCCCTCCCATCAGATGTCAAGGAGATAAACAACTATCTGACTTTTACAAGACATCTGAAGGCAGCCCTGTTTACAGAAGTTTTTAATCTTTGATATTTTATTGTTCTTTTAATATCCTGTTGGAAGCCACCCAGAGTGGCTGGGGAGGACCGGCCAGATGGGCGGGGTATAATTAATTTATTTATTATTATTATTCATTGACTGACTGACCTTCCAAATGTGCATGAGCCCATAAACCTACTTCATCTCTTCTTTCAAAAAATTGCAGCTGGATATTGTGCAGCAGGAGTATATTCATGAACACGGGCTGAACCAGATTGAGTTAGTGAAGGCTGCTTTTGATTCCGAAGGCAACTGGCTGGCTACTGTCGAACAGCGGCAAGGAAGCAGCAGCGACCTTGAAATGTACATGAAACTCTGGGCTTACGACGAGCAAAAGCAAAGGTACTCATGCTTGCATTGTCTAGCAAGCTGGCAGAAAGCCGGTTGTTTCAGATAATGTAGATTTGTCAGTCTCAAGTGTTGTCATTGCCCACACTTGCTGCCCCCATTAAACCTGTGACACGATGGGACTTGAGGTATGAGCATCAAAGGGAGCATGCATGTGCAGTTGTTGCGCGTCATTACTTTGTCCATGCACATGTCCGCACACAGATCCCCCCAACATGTGCCCTAGTGGCATGGCTGCTCCTGTTCTGTGGCCGCTGTCATGTTGGTCGGAACCTGTGTAACAGTATCCACCAAGGCAGATATGTGCCTCTTACTATGGAAACAGAAGCTCCTGCAGCTGAATGGGACACATCTGTGGGCAGCCTGAGGAAGTGGGCCTGCCCATAAAAAAAACAAGTCTGAAGTAAGAGACTAGGGTGATCTCTGCTGTTTCCGAGAACTCTTCTCGTTGCGAGGCTTTTGGGGGTAAGCTGAGAGTTTGTTTGGACCCCGAGTGAGAACCCAGAGGCTAAGGGAGGGTGTCTCTCTCTCTCTCTCTCTCTCTCTCTCACACACACACACACACGCATTCATTCATACCTTGGATCCCAAACACCTCACAAGTTGAACATTTTGGCTCCCAAACACTGCAAACCTGGAAGTGACTGTTCCGGTTTGCAAACTATTTCTGGAAGTCTGACGGGGCTTCTGCGGCTTCCGATTGGCTGCAGGAGCTTCCTGCAACCAATCAGAAGCTGCGCTTTGGTTTCCGGACGTTTTGAAGGTGGAACGGACTTGCGGAACGGATTCCGCTCAACTTGCAAGGTACGACTGTATATATGTAACTTGAATCAATTACCATTTTATATGTAGCTCTGTACTGTCACAATATTTTAAACAAAATTTTAAAAATCCTTAAAGTAGCACCTTAGATAGAGACCAACTAAGTTTGTTATTGGTATGAGCTTTCATGTGCATGCACACTTCTTCAGATACCACTTCAGATAAGTGTGCACGCACACAAAAGCTCATACCAATAACAAACTTAGTTGGTCTCTAAGGTGTTACTGGAAGGAATTTTTTTATTTTGTTTTGACTACGGCAGGCAAACACGGCTACCTACCTGTAACTACAATATTTTATGTGTTGTTCATTTTTTTGTACACTGCTTAGAGATCCTTTTATTAGCGTTAAGCAGTATAGAAATTAAATAATCAAGATATCAAATTGAATCCAGTCAGATGAAATGAAAATGTAAAAAAAATGTTAAAATAAAAATCTCCATCCTTTTTATTGTATCTATCTTATTTTCTTAGGGAGGGTGGTTATAATGTCAAAGTATAGTGCTTACGGTGATCGCAATCCGACATGGAGTTAGGTGCCCTTAAGCACCGTGGCTTCAAGGAATCTCTCTCCTGCTTTCTTGCAGCTTTACTCTGAACACAAGAATAAACATGCCGCATGAGGATTGTGTCACAGCTATGTGTTTCCGTTGCACAGACGCATCTGAAAATATAACCCCGACTTTGGTAACGGCTGGCAACGATGGGCACTTCAAAGTCTGGATGCTACTGATTGACAATGATGGTGAAAGTGAGTAAAAGGATGGTGGTGTACCTGTAAAATACTACATTGTGCTTTTATTCACCATAGAGAGGGCGGAAATCCTCTTCTCTCTGTTTACTGATAAGGGAAGGGGACTTGAAACAAGGCAGAGCAACACTTTTATCCTTACGTAGATTCACATAGTGTGCTTCTGATGCCTGTAGATTGTGTTTGTTTCATCCTCAGGTCAGAAACAAGAGTTTCCCACAGAAAACACTGGGCAAGTCTGGGATTGTTTTCTTTTTAGTTAATAAATAGTTTTTATTAGTTTTCGATTACAGTCCAATAATAGCCTCATTGGACACGGGTGGCACTGTGGGTTAAACCACAGAGCCTAGGACTTGCCAATCAGAAGGTCGGCGGTTCAAATCCCCGCGACGGGGTGAGCTCCTGTTGCTCGGTCCCTGCTCCTGCCAACCTAGCAGTTCGAAAGTACTTCAGAGTGCAAGTAGATAAATAGGTACCACTCCGGCGGGAAACGGCGTTTCCATGCGCTGCTCTGGTTCGCCAGAAGCAGCTTAGTCATGCTGGCCACATGACCCGGAAGCTGTACGCCGGCTCCCTCAGCCAATAAAGCGAGATGAGTGCCACAACCCCAGAGTCGGTCATGACTGGACCTAATGGTCAGGGGTCCCCTTACCTTCAGTAGCCTCATTATAACAATATCAATTTACAGGGAATTGCTGGGTTTTACGGGGGGGGGGGGGGCAAACTGAAATCAATGGAAAACTTAAGGAGCCAACTTATGGATTGGTTGCAATATCACCAGATACACAAATTGGATAGAAAGAATTGATTTTTGGACCAAAGCTCACAATTAAAAAAAAAATTATTCCAGCATAAGGATAAACTTCTGTCTAAAATGTATATTTTTTAATTAGAATGGGAAACAAAAGATGAGCTAGTTAAATCTTCAGTGACATACTGGGCAATAGATATAGGACACAACATAGATCTTAACCTCTGGGAGAAACTTTGGAAAAAACGACCTGAAATTTACTGCATGTTATTCATTGAGAAAGAACTACTTGGAATATATTCATAGATGGTATTTAAGTCTGAGTAGGTTGGGTAAGAATTAGAAGGCGGAATCAGATACATGGTGGAAGTATAAATTGAACTAACTTTCAGAGGAGAGTTGCCGAATCATAAATGTAGAGAAGAAATCTTTAAATAAAGAAACCATAGGCTCTCCCCCTCCCCCCAATCTTTGGCATCAAATGAAGTCTTATCACAAATTTAAACCTTAAAGTCCTTGCAGTTGGTTTTTTTCCACAGTTTGTGCTCTCATCTCTTCTACCACACACCTGTACTTTGGCCCAATTAAGCTCTAATTAACAGGAGAACCTCTGCTTCTTAATGGCGGCATTGGAGGGTTTTCACCAGGCAAAGTGCTTTTGCACTCAGCACCTCTCTGCCCCCTGCATTCCATGCCGGAGCGAGAGACAGGTACCGAGACGAACTCCAAGTGAAGCCCATTCCTCCTATCCCTGGGGGTGGAATTTCCAAGGATGATTTACCCTCAATCATCCTTTTTCCTTCACCTACAGTCTCCTGCCTGCAATCTATTAAGGCAGAGCGGAACCGGAAGCCAAATCTGGGATTGTTTTCAAACAAAAAGGCATATGTTCCTATGTCTGGCATTCAGCGAAAGACATATAGTACCCATTTAATGTGGTATAAGAATATAGTGCCTCTTTAATGTGGTGCTGACGACTCCTACAACGCAAGTCTGAAATTGGCCTTGGACACATCCCAGGAAAAACAGCTGAGGTGGTCACACACCTCAACTATCCTTTTTCAGGATTTAAGTACTTCCTTCTAATCAAAACAATGAGTCATGTTTGTACCAGGAAAAGCCTACACATTTGTGATCACTATCCCAGAATTGCTGTTGAAGTTGATGTCAGCAGAAATATGCAATTTAAATAAGGTAATGGCTTATTTAACATTTGATTAAATGCTCAAGGAGCACACACAGGTATTAACTAAGTGCCCTCACCTGATTCCAGCATTTTTGCTTGCCCACAGGAAGTGTGGCACTGTTGTCTGGTGACAATGGCAAATCCCAGCCTCAAAAGCTTCAGCTATGGGCAAGGGTCATCTCAGCAATTGCACAATAATCCCCATACCCCAGACATGGGCAAACTCAGCCCTCCAGATGTTTTTTGGGACTACAACTCCCATCATCCCTGACCACTGGTCCTGTTAGCTAGGGATGATGGGAGTTGTAGTCCCAAAACATCTGGAGGGCTGAGTTTGGGGATGCCTGCCGTACCCTCTTCCCAGCTTCAGGGTTAGGAAGAAGGTGGGGAGTGTTGTGGCCACAGGACCAAACAGTCAAGCATTTCCCCGCCACTCCACTTGCTGCCCTAAGAAGGAAGACGTGGTGGAAGGCTGCTGTTCCAATGTGCCGCCCAAATGTGTAAGCCCCGCCTCCCCTTATGGAAAAGGCAATGAAGGATTCTTGGTCTTCTGCAGCCAAAGAGAGACCAGGAAACCTCCCTTTTCCACTGAAGGTCTGGATCGCCTTGCCACACCTTTCAATGGGTGAGACAAGTGATCATAGTTATTGGCTTGGGTACCAAAGCCAAATGGAAATTGTGGACCCTTGCCTTCATATTCTTACATACTATTTATCATGTTACTCAGTTTTAACACATATGTCCTGTTATAAACGTGTGGGATTTCTTTCTCTTTAACAGATCAAAGCATAACTTGGGCCTGCGACTTCGTAGGAAGCTATCACAACTATCAAGCTACAAATTGCTGTTTCTCCGAAGATGGCTCTTTGCTTGCAGTCAGCTTTGACAAAATAGTCACTGTGTGGGACTCGGAACTGTGGGATCTCAAATGTACTTTCTGCCATCTTCCTGGGACTATACGGTAAGTAACCATGAATTCCTTTATTTTAAATCAGTTAAAAAAAAAAGATTCATTAAGCATGTAATGAAACTAACCTAATATTCCCCCAAAGTTTTTAAAGCAACAATCCTTATTATTTTCCTTTCAGAAACTTCTTTATTGGGCCCTTCTGAGCTTTCACAAGAATCGTTGGTTTTAAGGGAAAGATCTTTAAATAGCAACAAAGCTCTGTAACAAAATCAGCTTATTTTTTACATGTGTCCAGAATAATCTGTGCAGAACTTGAAATTGCATTGGGTGGGAAACAAACGCTCATCTTCCCTCCTGCAGCCACCAACCTTCCCTCAAATTTTGCTCCAGATGCTCCTCAATCCTCTGGAGCAGATTATTGGGCTCATGGAAGTTTGGGCCATGAGAAGGAAGTGGAAGTTCTGTCATGTGACATTGAGTGTTGCCTACAGTTTGATTTCAACAAGGCTGCAAAAATACCTTGCGCTTTTGGAAATACCTTCTTGCATGCTGCTTGCTTCCCCTGTCTAGCTTATTTATTGCAAAAGTTTCCTAAAGAAATCTGGCCCTGCTTTTTTAGCACCTGCCCACACCAGTGTCATCTTAAGGGGGATTACAACAGAACGGGTTTGCTAAGAAGCTGTAAGCTCTACAATTAGCCGAGTAATGCCTCTCTGTTTATTTAGAGTAAACATTTACCTGGTTGTAAGGGGGGAGGATCTCTCTTGTTGGAATTAGAGGGTCATAAAATAAGAGTCTGAGCGCAAACAAAATTGCTCTTGAGATCGAGAAGAAAGAGAAAGGTGGTGTGGTGGTTTAATGGAAAGACTTCGGCCAGTACTGACTCTTGAATCCCTGATTGGCCTAGGCATTAGCAGTGCCCATTGTGACCCACTTTTTAATGTGTGGCAGGTCTCCAAAACTGTAATAAACCACTTACTTTTGAGCACACGTAGCCTTTCACTTAAAATTACTTGCTTAAACTTTATACTAAAGCATGCAGAAGGTAGATTCCCATCTTTTACCAGTCTGTGAGGTATGAGTGCTTGAGCGAGGGTTGGGGAAAACGAAGTATGGCACCTAAGGCAGACATGGCTGGCCTCTCTCCTGTAACCATTTCAACCATGGAAATAGCAGAAATAGCTGCCTGAAGTGAGCTAGGGTTGCCTTAGAGCAGGCACGGGCAAACTCGGCCCTCCAGATGTTTTAGGACTACAACTCCCATCATCCCTAGCTAACAGGACCAGTGGTCAGTGGTGATGGGAATTGTAGTCCCAAAACATATGGAGGGCGAAGTTTGCCCATGCCTGTCTTATATAGTGACCCTACGGCGAAATATCTCATGGACACGACTAATTAACATTATCTTTGTTATTTATTCTTCCAGAAACTTGTGTTTTGGGAGGCAGAGTTGTTCAAAATACCTTCTTGGCACCACCAACACTGGATTTTTGTGCTGTTGGAACTTGCTGAGCTGTACATGTAAGACCATTTTATCACCTTTCCTTCCTTCCTTCCTTCCTTCCTTCCTTCCTTCCTTCCTTCCTTCCTTCCTTCCTTCTGTTCTTTCTTTGATTAAAAATTGGTCATTCTGAGAGAACCCAAGGAGGCAAATTGCTTTATATTTCAGCTTAACGCCAAATACTTTTAGTTTTTATTTATCCAGTCGTTGGAACCGTATTGCATAAAATTCTACGGCAAGTATTGTTGCTGAATCCCCAGCCAACCTCCGCTCCCCAGTTCAGATCCTCCCTTTGAAAGTTCTCCTAGCTGCATTCATGGTTTGAATTAATTCCAGTTCCATCCTCCGTTGCAAAGCATATTCTTGAGAGTCTGTGGTTCTCCTTAATAATCTGGTTATTTTGATTTTTAGTGGAATGGAGTGCCCAATTAAATGTCATTGTTCTGCAGCCAGATTGTCTGTCTGAGAACATCGTCGCGGTTTCATCCCACTCGGCATACTCAGATGGTGAGCATAAAGACCTCTTTCATTTTTGTTAAGGATCACTGGCCAAAACTGCAGAACCATACTGCCCAGGAAAATATTTTACTTCCTTGGGCTTTAAAGCCACTTAAAATAACTCTTTAAAATAGTCCGCTCTTGTCTACATGGAAACTATATCATGGTTTGGATTTTAAGACAAGAAAGTTTGCTGACGGAATGTTTCTCATCCCCCTTGTACTCAAACCTAGCTTTCAGGCTTCCCCATAAGCCTCTGGTTTTCCTCTGTGAGAACAGAATCCTGAACCAAGTGGACTGTTCTTTTCCCCCACAACTGCATCCCCAAAATGCCCATCTATAAGATCGCTGGTCCTTCTGAACCAGGCTGGAGCATGGTGGGATTGCTGGGTGAGAGGACAAGTGCCCCAGGATTGGTTGGCCTGAACTTCCTTGTGTCTTGGCACCCAAACCCCTTTTATCTAGGGGATGCATCCCCAAACTCTGCCCTCCAGCTGTTTTGGGACTACAATTCCCATCATCCCTGACCACTGGTGCTGTTAGCTAGGGATGATGGGAGTTGTAGTCCCAAAACAGCTGGAGGGCTGAGTTTGGGGGCGCCTGATCTAGAGCAAGGTGGTCTTGCCATTACCGAAGTAGGGCAATCTGTCTAGCAGACCTTTGGGATACCATGTCACTTAGAGTCTTGCCCTGAGATCTGTTTTCTGGGTTGTAGATTTTCATTATAAGAAAGCTATTTTAATGAAAAAGGCCACCTGACAGTCTTGGCACCGCAGAGCCTTTTAATAACTCTCACCCCCTACTGGGCTAGATCAGGTGAGCAATAATATCTTGTTCACATTCCTTGTTTTCTGCACGTGAGGTGGTTGTTGTCAGGGAGTTTAGAGTCTATGGTGGGGGGGAAACCTATTTCCATTTCAGGAGTTCCTTTTTACTGTTCTTTATCCTGCAATGTGTGATACTCTACAGTTGGTTGGGCAGCCCATGGTCCTGCAGATGTTGCCAGACTACATTTCCCATCATGCCCAGCATTTAGCCATACTGCCTAAGGCTGATGGGAGTTCCCCATCCCTGCTCTGTAGCCTATTTCTCACTGGGGTGGTACAGTCCAATGACAGTTTTACCACCTGACTGAGAACTAGGCCTAGCATGCTGTATCTTTATCCATATTATTCTTTGTTGGTGGAACTCTGTAGACAGGGGACTGGTTTATTTATACTCCGTTAATAGGTTCCCATATAAGTACCAGGAGCTATACTGAATGTATGGGTTTCTTTATCATTTTCTGCTCATGCATTGACTTCAGACCTCAGAAAAGCAACGCGGAAAGCGGTTCTTAAGGACTAAAATTCTCTTTTTCTTCTTTTTCTTCCCCTCAGTATTTGTATTCAAACCCTGTGAGCCGCAGCCTTTGTGTATCCACAGGAAGGTCTGCAGAGGCCAAGTCCGGTGTGCTGTCTTTGTTCCAAGAGATCTCCCCGAGTCCATTCATTCAGAAAAATACCAGTGGCTCAGCCAATCTCAGTTTTACTTCTTGACTGAAACACTTGTAAGTGTTTAAATGCGCATCTGGGACAATATTGCAATGTGTTCTTAAGAGCTCAGAAAGCCAAGTTGTCGTGCTAGTCATTTCTGTAGCCCTTTTCAGCTCTGCTACCCTTATCTACCATTAACAAGATAAGACAGGATGAGAGGTCATCATTTAGCCGCAAAGCTCACAGGGGGACCTTGAGTCAGTTGAGAGCTAAACCTGAATCCCTCACTTCGGAAGTCAGTGTTGTGCCTGATTTCGGTACATATGAATTGCTCCCTTTCTTGGTATAAGAAGTTTTCTGGACAAGACTGCTTTAACTGAGAAATCTTTTTAATTAGTTCTTGTTAGGGGAGATGGGCGATAGTTCAGTAGGTAGGGCAGGAGACTCTGAATCTCAGAGTCACTGATTCAAGTTCCACATTGGGCTACAGATTCCCACGTTCGGGGTTTGGATTTGATATCCCGCTTTATCACTACCCTAAGGAGTCTCAAAGCGGCCAACAATCTCCTTTCCCTTCCTCCCCCACAACAAACATTCTGTGAGGTGAGTGGGGCTGAGAGACTTCAGAGAAGTGTGACTAGCCCAAGGTCACCCAGCAGCTGCATGTGGAGGAGCAGGGAAGCGAACCCGGTTCACCAGATTACGAGTCCACCGCTCTTAACCACTACATTGGACTAGATGACCCTTGGGGTCCCTTCCATCTCATATGATTCTGTTGTATTCTAGTCTAAATGTTAGCTAATCATGTGAGTTTTAGTTTCATAAGGGTAAAATCAATCATGTTGACAAAGCTGGCATACATTGTTTCTTGTTGATTCCTTCCGAGAATAAGAGAGGGAAATGCCTTGACTACAGGGGTGCCTTTCATCCACAATTTTATACGTACCTCTGTTTAAAACCTTTCGATCAGCTAAAAAATGGTCAGGTGATAGGGATATAGACCGATAATATTGTCATTTTTACTTGTACTTGGTTAAATCACGCAGTTTTATTTGGTACAAACAATATTGTCAAATATTAATGAATATCCCCAGTGTCCCTTGAAGAGAAAAGAGAAATCATTTCAAACAGCATTAAACCTTTCATGCTTCATGTTATATCCCTTCTGGATTTTGTTTTTAATGAGTAGATGCTTATATTTCTTAAGTGCATATGCTACAAAATAAATCAGCTGGGTTGTGTGCCATATTTTAAGACTCACCGAAATCCTAGCGAAAGATTGTTTTTCGTAATAGTGTTTCTTCCTTCTGAATGTTTAGGAATTGATGACATTTAGCACAAAGAGCCCAGAAGAGAGACTTACACCTTCCAGCAGACAGGTAATTGTTTTTTATTTTATTTTTTAAAATAATATTTATTGGCATTTCAGCAAAATAACAAAAACAATATCTCACAAAAAAGAAAAAAGAAAAACAACAATGCATACAAAAAAGACAAAAAAAGACAAAAAAGAAACACATGTATAATTTCACTCCTTTATGCTCCTAAACCTTACTTTCCCGACCTCCTCATACCTCCCCTTACTGCATTCCAATCTCAAGTTAATTTTTTTCAACAAATCCTTCCCATAATTTCTTACTAAAATTTTTTGCTTTCTTTCCATATTTACATAATGGTTACAGCAAACAACCACTTAATTTCAAAATCAACATCGTCTTAACATTCCACAATTTTACAATACTTCTTAAGATAGTCTTTAAATTTCTTCCACTCTTCTTCCGTCGTCTCTTTTCTCTGGTCTCGAATTCTGCCTGTCATCTCTGCCAGTCCCATGTAGTCTATAACTTTCATCTGCCATTCTTCCACAGTAGGTAGTTCTTCTGTCTTCCAGTATTTCGCAATAAGTATTCTTGCTGCTGTTGTAGCATACATAAAAAATGTTCTATCCTTCTTTAACACCAGTTGGCCGGACATACCCAATAGAAAAGCTTCTGGTTTCTTAACTGGTTTTTTAAAAGAAGTGAACAGGAATTCTAAGAGAGTCCACGTTCCATTCCGTGTGATTTGATTGAACTGCCCTGTATTGAAAATCGGTTTGACCTATATTAAGTTTCGGATCCAAAGATCCCCTTCTGAGTAGTGTGCAGTGCATCATGGTGGAACTGCAGGGGTAGAGGATCTACTTTGGAATAGATCCCTGGGCCCAATCTATCCAGTCAACTCTGTCATACTAGATTCCCATTTCAAGAGATTCTTGTCAGTAGCTTAGGGCTATGCCAGGAATCTTGCTATCATCCGTAAAACGACAGACCAGTGTTCTTAACTTTTTCTCATCTTGGGCCTCTTTTTTAATTGTACCATGGTGATTCTTGGGCTTGCTGATCAGAAGGCCGGTGGTTTGAATCCCAGTGACAGGGTGAGCTCCCGTTGCTCTGTCCCAGCTCCTGCCAACCTAGCAGTTCAAAAACTGCAGCGGGAAGGTAAACAGTGTTTCTGTGAGCTCCGGCTTCCGTCACAGTGTCCCGTTGTGCCAGCAGCGGTTTAGATATGCTGGCCACATGACCCGGAAGGCTGTCTGTGGACAAACGCTGGCTCCCTTGGCCTGAAAGTGAGATGAGCGCCGCAGCCCCATAGTTGCCTTTGAATGGGCTTACCCATCCAGGAGTCCTTTACACTTTTTACCTACTTATTTTTTTAAAAAAAAATATCTGCATCACACTTGGACGGGGGGGGGGGAGTTCTATCTTAAACTGCTTTATCAGTACAGAAATGCATGAAAAGCTAAGCTTTTGGCATTTGCCCAAATTTAAATTATGTCCCCTAGGCAAGGATGAAGTGAGCACTTAATTCTGTTTATGCTTTACTCATAAATAAGAAGCGAGCTGGAAAAAAGATACCCACCTTTCTAATTTTTACAATTGCAAAAATAAAATATTTTTGTAATTGCCCCCCAATATTTATAAAAAGGTACAACCAGTCCAACATAAAGCCTTATACAGCCACCTAGAGCCATTCGGTGGGCCAGGAAATAAATGGTGCCAAATCTCAGGCTGCCAATGGGACATTTGGCCCCAGCAATGTTCAGGAGGTCAACAGTTTGACTTCACCCCCGGAGGCGCACTCCACTGTCTTTGGAGACAGACGGATGCCAACAACAAGGAGCATAACTAACGTTTGAATAGCATACAGCTGGATCCAACCACTAATAATTGCCGGGGGGGGTATCTCAAAAGACGCTGTTGGATTTTTCTCTTAGCCTGCTTGCATGCTGTTAAAGTGTGCTGTAATTGAATTCAGAGGGATTCTCATTACAGCTTTACCCTCAAGAACTTCTAATAGTTCTCTCTCTCTATATATATAGAGGAGCCAGTCATGTAAGGAAGCCATTGGGGGCAAACCTGGGAATCCTGTGCCCCTCCAGAAATTGTTAGACTCCAGTTCCCATTAGCCCCAAGCCAAAAGTTGGGCATTCTAGGGGTTTGCTTGACTTTTCTCCAGTTGCACTTCCCCCCTCCTTTAATTTAATAACTTTGGACACCAAGGCAGGTGGGAGGCAGGGATTAAGTATCCTATTCTGTTCTTTAACTCGGCTCTGTTTTCTCCATCACCACTTTTTAGCTGGCAGTTGAAGAGAGCTTCCCCATGACTCCTTTTTACCTGCTACTGGGAAAGCACCAGCAACAGAATAAAGAGGCTACAGAAACTGGGAGACTCCCTATTCAGAAGAACTTTGCACAAGAATCGCCTGCTGTCAAAGAAGTAAGAATAAACACAATGCCTGTTCAGGAACATGCAAATACTGACTACCACTTAACAAGCTTTCCTTCTTATTGTGTCTTTTTTTTGTCTTTCCTCCCCAGCTTCTTCACACTCCAGCTCATGTCTTACCGTCTGCCTCTTTCCTGTGCCCCATTTTTATCAACTCACTGCTGATATCCAAAGCCAATAAAAGGTAAGAAGCCCTCAGTTTTTTAAACGTTTGTTTTCGAAAGGAGCCGACAATAAAACTGAACTTTACAGAACAAAAGAAGATCGCGCACAACATTTTCCCCTATCCGCTTACATTGTGAGGTGGTGGTTCTTCGCGAAGCTGAGTTAAGAGGGCATTAACACGTTACCATTGTCATAGAAACGGAAGCATTTACACCGAGGTGTCCTTTGAAAATGACTCTTGCCCTATAGGAGGCACAGCCATATTCACACACACAAAAATGAGTGAGAAGAGAAGGTATTAAAACATAATTCTCCCATTTGGGAACCTGGTATGATGACACATATCTGGTGGGCTAGAGAATCTCATGTCTGAGGTTGCATTCAGAAACGGGGCGTTATTTCATCATTTCCTGATCATTAATGGTAATGTGTCAATTCTTACATTCCTTTGACACAGCATAACTTTCTTCCATTAGAGAACACTGCCTTTTTGATCAGTATACTGCCATGTCACACTAAATTTTAAATGTTTGGAAAGGACAGTGTGCCAGAACGCTGCCTAAAATTTCATCATGGAATTACAATGCAAAACTGCAGTTTTCTGGGTCACTGGGGCTGCAAACGTATTTTTTTCTGGAAACAGGTAACACAGAATTTAGCACTAAACTTTGGCTAGATTCCACTAGTTTTCCAAAAGTGGCTTTTACGTCATGCGAAAGATCACATAAGATATGTAAATACAGTCATACCTTGGTTTTCAAACAGCTTAGTTCTCGAATGCTTTGGCTCCCGAACGCCGCAAACCCGGAAGTGACTATTCCAGTTTGCAAACTATTTTTGGAAGCCGAACGTCCAACAGAGCTTCCTGCAGCCAACCAGAATCACGCTTTGGTTTCCAAATGTTTTGGAAGTCGAACGGACTTCTGGAACGGATTCTGTTCGACTTCCAAGGTACGACTGTAAAGGAAACATTGTGAAAATGGAATTAAGTGCTGTCTCAGCACAGCCTGAGACCTGTGTGGCTAGGCCCAGCATGTTCAGTATAACTATTTTATAAAATACTGGAAGGTTTAGTGTGTATTAGTATGAGAGGTTGTGTGTAAAACTGAACCTTAGCAAAGGCTAGTTTTAAAGGCACCTCCACTGCCTATACACTTCAGGAACATTTCTAGGCCTTTCCCGGCCGTGCCTGTTTACGGAGTATTTTCTTTGTGTCAGGATGCATTGAAAAGCTTAATTCCCTCCTAATTTGTGTTTCCTGCTGATCTCCCACTGCTTCAGATTATTCTGCAACCCTTATAATTCCCATTTTCTTATTGGTGACTTGTGTGGAAACTTTTTTCCACTTTTAAGAAGTCCACGTCCCCCGTCATACTAAAGCTTACTTATCATATTCATGAGAATCTTAAGAAAAATATCTACAACCCAGCAAATATTCTAGCTCTGAGACTTTGTTATAAATGTCTCAGTGGTCTCAAATGCACATTTCTATTGATCCTTCCATTTGTATTTTTATAGCACTACTGAAGTTGCCAATGAAGTGGAAATGGAAAGCGACAACAGCGAGAATGAATCGGAGGAGGAGGAGGACACGGAAGTTGCTAAAATGGACTCAGAGGCACCACAGGCAACAGATTGTTTGGAGGACAACATTCCACCTAAATTGTCAAAAGAACAAGAAAAAAAACTGCGCCAGTTAAGAAAAATGGACTACAGCTGGGCATCTGTTCTCTAGACACATAGTATTGTGGACTACATGTATTTATATTTCTTACCAATAATTCCACAAGATGTCATTCTTTCAAATAAAGGACTGCAATTTTCCAGGATGCTTCTTCACTTCTTGGAATAAATTGTAACAAGTGTCTCCTGCAGTGAAGTCTTTGAAGCAAGCATTTTTATGGTTTATTTACAGAAAATGTGGTTTTGTAGGGGAAACAATTCAAAACAACTGCATGCTTCTACCTCTAGGTTTTATCCAAGGTCCAACTGGTTTTACAAAGTGTTGAGGTTTTGAAATGGGAGTTGCTCTGGAAATGGGAAGATTTGCCATTATTGTTTTCTGAAAGCACAGTGAACAATCATAGCAAGACGCACCCGTCCTTCAGGAGGGACGGCAAACTTGCTGAACGAAATGGAAGTATTTATTAATCTACATTCCTAAGACGTCCAGGAGCGCTTGAGGCAGAATTTGAAATGCAAGACGCAAAACAAATCCACTTTTGTCCAGTGAAGACAGCGGGAGCTAAATAGGTCACTGGGTAATAAGTCACTTCTGAACTCTCAAAATAGCCTGCTCAAAACCTTTTAGTAGAAAGCATTGGGAGGGAGAAATTATATGCATGCTCACCAAGATGAAAGAATAATGAAATTAATACTGTGGACCCCAGGGACCATTTCAAACAACACTGCCTCCCATGATAAACTGCGATGTCAACAGTTCCACTATGCTAGTATAAGACCCTTCTGTAAGCCCAAACAACTCTAAATCCAGTGCGTGTCTGTGCATGTGTCTATAGGTATGCATGTTAGTGCTGTTGAACTCTGAAGAAGCATCTATCTTAAGTACAACTGTTACTCAACAAGCAAAGGAATACGTGGTACCTCTGGTTACGAACTTAATTCGTTCCGGAGGTCCATTCTTAACCTGAAACCATTCTTAACCTGAGGTACCACTTTAGCTAATGGGGCCTCCCGCCACACAATTTCTGTTCTCATCCTGAGGTAAAGTTCTTAACCCGAGGTACTACTTCCGGGTTAGTGGAGTCTGTAACCCAAAGTGTTTGTAACCCGAGATACCACTGTACTAACAGAGTACAACAGCTCAATATTAAAACCGACGAAATATTGTTGAGGAAGCCATGAGTAGCAACCAAATTGGCTCATACTTATTCATTTGACCAGAGCTGCTATGGAGGAAAGTGTTTCTGAGGAAAATAATTTCAGTATGGACAATTCTGTATAATAGGGCAGACTGCATCTAGACCAGCACTTTACCTCATGGCTGGCCAGGTGGAACGCCTGATGATAAAATACATGGATATAACTTGCTTCCTCAACACTTTTAAGTCAGAGATGTTCAGAGCTGGGGTGCTAACCTGTGTCTTTCCAGCTTTTGGACTACAACTTCCACCTGAGACCATTGGCCATACTCGCTAGAGCTGATGGGAGTCCAATTTTACATCCCGAGAGCCCCTGCCCCTGGTATAGAGAGACTGGGTTGGCTCTAGACTTGGAAGCAAAACCCAAGAAACTAGCATTCCCTGCAGAGCTAGGGTGAAACAAACTTTGACAAACACCTCTATCCAGGCAAACGTCAGAGCAAGGGCATTCTAGTTAGGCAAAATGGGTGATAGTAGGGGCAACAAGGGGAGAGTGCCTGGGGAGAGTGCCAAGGGCCAGACGAGGACTGGAGGGGCAGCATTTGCCACCTGGGCCTAAGGTTCCCCATTCCTTTAAACAGCTACTTTAACTGATGGCTGAAGCCAGAGAACATTCCTGTTCCCAACTTGTCAAAACTTGTGCCCCTTACAGACCTCCTCTCATTCAGATTGTAGTTCTGGTGACCCTCATAATTCTGGTCTCCTGTCAGTGACTTTTCTGTGGAAAGTAGTATTTTAAGGGCTCTCTGCTCTTTGCATGCAGAGATCTTATTGTCAAACAGGAAAGAAACGGTATGCGCTGAAGTAGATAGCATTTTGCTACCGACATGCAAAAGGAGAAAAAGATCATTCGTATATGCATTTGAATGTTTCAATACACCGACCCTAGCTGCTGGGCCTGGTGGAAATGGTAGCACAAAACACCTGACAGGTCTAGAACCTCACTTGTGGGAATAGTTGTGGGGAAGGGAAGTGACACATAAAGTTTAAAACCACTTTTCTCTGCTTTTCCGCTTCAAACCACTTTTTCTGTTGCTAGGTAAAGGTAAAGGGACCCCTGACCATTAGGTCCAGTCGTGACTGACTCTGGGGTTGCAGCGCTCATCTCGCTTTATTGGCCGAGGGGGCCAGCATACAGCATCTGGGTTATGTGGCCAGCATGACTAAGCCGCTTCTGGTGAACCACAGCAGTGCACGGAAATGCCGTTTACCTTCCCGCTGGAGCGGTACCTATTGATCTACTTGCACTTTGACGTGCTTTCGAACTGCTAGGTTGGCAGGAGCAGGGACCGAACAATGGGAGCTCACCCTGTCGCAGGGATTCGAACCGCCGACCTGATCGGCAAGTCCTAGGCTCTGGTTTAACCCACAGTGCCACCCGCGTCCCTGTTGCTGCGTATTGTTGCATGGCATTTTGGCATTTGAGTTCACCAGTAGTCCTGGCTCAATCTCTACGCCTAAATCGCTCTGTGCCCCTGGCTAAAGTTTTGTGTGTGTGTGTGTGTGTGTGTGTAATGTCCAGTCTCTTAATTCAAAGAAACCGTCAGCTCAAATACAATTTCCATGCAAATGGAGAAAAGGCAGGGTGGCTCTCCTGAACGTCTCCCTCGCTTACCTTTTTAAAACAGGTGTGTTATTAATTGGTTCACACTCGCAAGCGAAGGAAGAAACCAATAAGACAAGTTGGGTACATGAGGTTACTTCATCTGTTTTTCTGTGCTCAAAAAATCCAAAGGTCTAGTCAAACTTCTGCTGGGCTTACTGAAACAACTGCAATTAAGAAAATAGCATGATGCTAACAGATTTGGCAACGTCTCACAGGTCTCACGATTGAAATTGTAAGGGTGGTGTCTGTTGTGTTGAGCTAATTGCAGGCTGTCTGTCATTATCTACTTGTTTTTCTGGTGTGTTCCTTTGCTTCAGTCGCTAGCAGTGCAGGAGAGTATTTTCATGAAACGCTCTTTAGAAATTTAATGATTTTTGGATTGGTCTTGAATGCAGCAATTTGGCATATTATCAATGAAACTCTATATGATATAGCCAGCAAGAAAAAAAAGATGCTTAATAGTGTTCCTCATTCTTGGATCTTTCTCCTTCATCTGCCTTATGGGATACATGAGACTTCCACCACCTTTTAAGTACTGCAAATACTGAGATATATTATATACATTAATAAGTACACACACAATTATCATGCTTGGAGAACGCCCTTGTAGATACTTATCGAGCTAAAAACCTACTAGTTTCTCAGTTTTGACTGCAACTGAAACATGGATGTTTGTGAAATGCAGTAAACGCCATAAGTTGATGATGTGGGTGAATTTTAAAAGTATGATTTGATTTCTACTTGTTAAAGCAAGGGAGATTGCCATTTATGTGTCAACAGGTTCCAAAAAATGCCATTTACTGTTCCTCAAGTAACTACCCATGCAGCATGGGTCTTTTGGTTCATTTTATTCTCATATGTTGTAGAATGCCTTGAAATGTTGTTGTTTTAAGTGTGTATTGCACACACACACACACACACACACACACACACACACACTGTGTATTTTTTTAAAGCTTTCTGGTGAATTTATTTACCTCACACAATAGTTTTCTGTGCAAGAGCAGCTGAGTGTTTTTCCTTGGTGTGCACTCAGAGGTGATATAGTCTCATAAAGGCCCGCTTCATAGCCTTTTCAAAGATTCTGCCTTATTTTGAAGTATTGAACCTCACCGGATAGCGACAGAAGTTTCAAAACCCTTTCTGCATACCTCAAAACTGCAGTTTCAATTCATCTTCTTTTGTTGAGTATTGCAGAAAGCTCAGCCAAGGTTAAAGATAGAACTGAACCAAAATTCTTCAGAATAATTTTTTCCTGAAAAATCTCTGCGATCTCTCTCTCTCTCTCTGTGTGTGTGTGTGTGTGTGTGTCTGTCTGTCTGTCTGTCTGTCTGTCTGTCTGTCTGTCTTCATCAACACAGTTCCCTCCAAAAAAGCAACTTTACAGGATTTTCTCTAAATGGTTGCCTTCAATTTTTGGGGTGGCATTTGCCATTACCCACGCACAATGTCTCAGAATGAAGCAAAACAGGCAGTGCAAACAGTGTCCCAGACTAACAAGATAGTTACTGGAACACCACAAACACACACACATACATACAACAGAGGTCTTGGCGGGGGTGAGGGGGGAAGAAGCTGTGCTACTGCCTCGGCTAATGTTGAGTCTCACCCCTAAGACACTGTTGGAGAATTTATCTTTGCCATGGAAAAATTCAGTATAATGGTCTCTAGATCTCTCTGTCAACAAACAGGGGAGAATTTTGTGGCCATTTGTGCATATCTAGTGTCTCAACAAAGACAGTATGTTAAGAGCCTGTCATTTTAATTTCGGTCATCTGCTGTTTCCTTCTAGAGGTCAGTTTTTCCCTCTTCATATTTGTCCTAAGAGTGTGAGTGCCAGATTTTGCTGACAGCACGGGCTACGAAATTTATTTTTCCATCCGTCACATGTTAATGGAGTCGGGGCTAAAAGAGGTAATAATAACCCAGCTGCATTGCAGGAGGTTGTGTTCAGAGCTTTTCCAGAGGGCTACGATGAAAATACTGTACGAATTGACACAAATAACTTTATAAAAACAGCCCCGTGCTGAAGCTTGATATGACTAGCAGAAAGCTGGCAGAATTTACTTCTGAGGAAAGAGCAAACCATAGACACATGACAATAAATGGATGAGAATATAGAAATTGCAGACTGTAATTGATGTTGCCTTTGCCTTACTGGAAAGCGCTTTCATTCATACAATATGGGATTCCAATTTTCACTTATTTTTACTGAATGGGACACATTTGTATCCAATCTCAGCTATATTAAATTATTTGATTTCTTTAATTTGATGTCTCAAAGCAGACCTCTCTTCCATTCCAGGGGATGTTTAAAATAGCTTCTTAGTGTCAACCAC